GTGGAGCTCCCAGACAAAAAGAGACTAAGAAAAAAAAGCCTGACAATCTAATCCCCAAATCAGCCCCTGGAAACCCTATCTATGGGCTACAGCAGGCTGATCCACAACCTGGCAAAGGACTTTGGCTGTGCCTGGGATCATTATAAATCTGAACCATCTCAGTGACAACTAGCACCAACAGCATCTATTCTAAGGATATACCAGGCAGCACTTAGAACATCAGAGGTCCTTATGTGCTAATGTAAAATGCTTATCAAATTACAGAGCAATATTTTCCAATAGTAGCATATGATAATATTGATGTTCTTAAAAAAAAAAAAAAAAACACTTTAAAAAATGTTTTCATAGTAGTAATATTAAGTTAATTGATTCAAAAGCTGTGTTACGCACGTAGATGCTGTTAGAGTATTTGAGTACAGAGGCAGTGTACTCAGAAGAGCCATCAAGGCTAGCGTCTAGCAGAGACCAGGCCCAAGTCTGTACATAGTTCAGTTTCTTCTCTTTGCCCTCCTGTCTTCTTCTCCCAGGCTGTTCCCATGGAGGAACATTCCCAGTGTCCAGTCCCTCATCAGATCATAGAATTGCAGAGAAGAGAGAGGGTTATAGAATGAGATTGAAAATGTAGAGGAATTATATCCAATCTCCCATGCTGACATGTGGGACAAGAACTAGGACATGGAGCCCCCAGAGTCTGGGCCAGCTGGGTCAGGTCAGGGCCTGTACTGGAGTGAAGTTAAGGGAGCAGAGTGTGTTGTGAGAAACAAGGCTTGGTGGAGATACCCAAACTGAGCTTCAAGGACGGTCATTGTGAATTCAAATAAACTTGGGGAAATCAAAAGAGAAGTGACTACTCAAAATACACATTCAGAGAGGATGCAGTGGAAAGACAAGAGAACTTAAGTGGAAGGTGGAAGGAATAAATGACTTTCTGGGCCAAAGGGAAGTGATTCAATTACCTTTATAAAAACCAACATATATATATATATATATATATATATATATATAAGACACATAGTAGTCACTGTGTGGTGAAAATGGTAACCAGAAAAAAAGTGCACATGAAAAAAGTCCACATAGAGAAACTTGTACACTGATTAGGGCTAGAGTTACCAATTATACCTGAGCTGTGTGCTTTTTAATTTTTTTTAAGTTTTTATTGTGAATTGAGGGATAGTTCACATCATAGAACCTTGGTTTTACACTCATCATTTCATTGCAATGATTACAAGCTCCTTCGTGCATCATCATTCAACAGTATTTGCTTCTATTCCCTGTTTTTTGTTTTGTTTTGTTTGAATGTACACAAAAACACTCAGGAATATATAATCATTTAAACAACTGAAGGGCATATTCTACAAGCCTGCCTCCTGGCTGCCAGCACACAGCCTTTTTCTTCCTATGAGTCTAGAGTCCTCAGCTGTTGTATCTCTCCGTGTCCTCAAGTCTGCCTCCATCTCTGGTGGCGCTACTTCTCTAGATAGGGTCCCGCATTCCCCTCCTGCTCTTCTCCCTTGTGTACATTTTCATTGTGTGCATTTATCACAGTGTTTTTTTTTTTGTTGTTCTTTTGTTTTTTAATGTGGTCTTACTCATTAGCACTTTTTCCTCAAACCGGTACAAATGGTTAACGAACTCAGCTGCTAACTGAGAGGTTAATGGTTCAAGTCCATCCAGAGTCACCTCAAAAGAAAGCCCCGACAAGCTGCTTCCGAAACATCATCCAGCAACCCCCACAGGGAACAGCTCTATGTAACACACACGAGGTCACAATGAACTGGAATTGACTTGATGGGATTTGATTATTTTATCAATATATAATTCACATACTAAACAGTGCTCTCTTTTAAATTGTATAATTCAACCTTTTTTATTATATTCACAGATGTGCAGCCATCACCACAGTCAATTTTGGAACATTCACCCTTGAGCTTTCACCCCACCTCCCACCACCCTCCCACCACCTCCCCACATCTCGTCACTGCCAGCCCCTAGGAACTTACTTTCTGTCTCTATAGGTTTCCCTATTCTGGACTTTATATGAATGAAATAACATGTGGTCTTTTGTGACTGGTTTCTTTCACTTAGCATAATGGCTCCAAGGCTCACCCATGTTTAGCAATTATCAGATAGTTCCTAATTCCTTTTTATGAATGAATATGGATATGCCACATTTTGTTTATGCATTCAACTGTTCTGGGCCTTTGAGCTGTTTCCACCTCTTGGCTGTTGTGAATAATGCTACAATTTTTTCTTATAGATGCCTTTGGGAAGGAGTTGTTCAGGGCAACTTAAATCAGACAAAAGATTATTATAATTTATTTTTAAGATCAAAAACATTTCTTTATGCTTTAATCTCATTAAATAGATTTTTTTTGTCCAAATTAGATCATGCGACTGATCTTTGAGTATATTAGTAATCTGTCTCATTATACTTATAACTTCCAACATCACTCACCTTTTAAAATAGACTTTCATATCTTTGACAAAAGAAAATAATTGTTTAAAATGTTTATGATATAATATGATGAATTTTTGGGACTGTAGATTTAATTCCAACCACAAACTTCCGTTCTCTGTTTCTTGCTTCTCTAGACTCTAGTCAGACTTAGGAATGAACTGTGGAAGACTAGGGAATCCATTGATGCTCTCCATAAGGAAAGAAGGTAAGGAACAAATGTGTGTTCCTTTACTGACAGTAAAGACAGAACAGTAGCACTTCCTTTTCCTTTTAGAGGAATATTTTCTACAAAGATTTGTTTATAAATGCTCTTTCTTATAACATTGAGGAAAAAATCCTTAATATTAATAGAAACACATAAAGAGTTGAAATATTAGAAAGAAAGACTTCACACTACCTGAGAATTATTTTTGAATTGTCCAAAGTGCTTGCTGAAAGTACAGATTTGCTTGCCTGTCTTTATTTGAGTTTCCTGTTATTGACAATATTGGCACCAGGTGAATTGTGTTTTCCAAAATTATTCCATGAGAATTTCTACTTTAACTAAAGGTGGTGATGGTGGTAGTGGTGTGCCATCAAGTCAGTTTCTACTCATAGTAACCTTGTATAGGGTTTCCAAGGCTGAGAATTTTTATGGGAGCAGGAAACCTTATGTATCTCCCATGGAGCAACTGGTAGAGTCCAACTACTAACCTTGGCAGCCCAGGCCATAATCCTCTATGCCACCAAGGCTCCTTGATCCAACAGGGGAAAATGTCAAAGTAATGGAGTGATGGGCAACATGAAGGAAAAAGAGGATCCCATTAGTGGTCATAGGGGCACAAATGTTCAATACAGAGAACACCGTCTAGAGAGGCGTTCTGAAGATGTTTCTGTGTTACCTGCTGTGTGAAACCCCTGAGCATATTCCGTTCTGAATAACCCATCATGAAGATCTACATGAAACTCCAATTATATTCCAGCTTTTGGAGTCATATTGCTGTAGTCCCTAAGTCTAATTGTCTGTAAACTTGAGGGCTGTCTTTCAGAGATATAATGCTTTGGGTGGGTCCCAAACTAAATTCCAAGACCTCATCAAGCTATATAGCAATTAGACTTCACATCAGAAGATGGTTTTGCACAAATTGCACTAATATATCAACAGCACTGATCAAAGAACAAAACTAGATAGTCAGTTTTATAGTGTGTTCTATGTGCCATGGATTGTTCTAGGCCTGGATCTGAGCACACAGCAGTAAACAACAAGAAAAGAACAATGAATACTTACCTTGTGGAACTTAAACTCTAAGGGGAATCAAAAGGCCAAAAACAAATAAGCCAAAGTAATGTTGGTAAGTACTGTGGAGTCAGTTCCGACTCATAGTGACCCTGCACAGGGTTTCTGAGGCTGTAAATCTTTACGGGAGCATAACGCCTCATCTTTCTCCCATGAAACCACTAGTAGTTTCGAACTACTGACCTTGACATTGGCAGCCCGACTTGTAACCACTACACATATAGCTCCTTAAGCCAAAGTAATAGAAAAAATAATATGCTAGTAAATTCATAATTAAATTATACGGTATGCCAGATAGTGCAGCTGTTCAGAATTTTGAGGGTTTGAGACTTAGCCAAAATAAGTTCTCCTCAAGCTCCATAGAAATTTGGAGTTTTAAAGTCCATAGACACAAGTCAAGCAAAGAAGAGGAAGGGATTTGCTAACGGCAAGGTTGGGGTTTATTGGTTCAAGTGAAGTAGTCAGGAAAGACCTTGCTGTAAATTTCACGTATGAGCAAAGAATTGAAAGTGGTGAGAAATTTTACTGAGCAAGAATCTGGGGGAAGAAGGAGGGCTCTAGGCAGAGGGACCTAAAAGTGCAAAGACTCCAGGTAGAATATTCCTGGTGTGTTCAAAGAATAGCAAAGCTTTCTGCATGACTGATGAACAGAGAGTGGAGGAGGAAGCAGGAGATAAGATCAGAGACAGCAGGGGGAAACTTAGCCATCTTAGGGTCACGGCATCTTGAAGGCCTCTGTAAGTGGGGGAGGGAGCCACTGAGGACTTTAAGCAGAAGAGAAGCATGATCTGCCTTTTAAAAGAGTTATCCAGACTGCTTGGCTCTTTCTTAAACCAATAAACAACAAGACTTGGAAAGAAAAAACACAATTCCGGAATTGAATTACTATTCCTTCCTTGTGGTCTTTGATAAGTATTAAATAGTTCATCATGACATGCCTATAAAGTGTGTGTGAATGTCTCTAAACAAAATGATCATGAACAAATCTAATATTGAAATTTAAGTAATCATAAAATTACTACTGTCAACAACAGTTCATACCATGCAAGATGAGCTTTCTAAAACACGTCTACAACCAATGAAATTCTTAGTGAAATTGTGTAATCATAGCCAGGGACTAGTCAAACACTTTCATATGATATGGATCAATATCAGGTGTATCTACTTCTCCCAGTATCTGTTCCTACAGGGAGGACCTGGACTACATCTTACTAGGATGCTACTTAGTGTGCCCTTCTAATGTTCTCAAACCTCATCTCTTTGCAGGTTCCTTAAAAAACAGTTAAACCGGTGCAAAGACAAGTTGCAAGCAATATACACCTCCCAGGAAGAAAAAAACTGCAGATTTGAAGCAAAGATTCACCAGCTCACAACCAACCAGGATAGTCTATGGACCAAACTGCAGCAGATGGAACAGGATCCCCAGGTATCACAAGTGTGGAACACTGGCCATTTGGATTACATGGAAGTCAGGCCTGAATCTTCCAGTCGAGGGAATTCCTCATCCTCAAGAGGCTCTTTGCAGCCTTGGTTCCTAAACTTTGGGTCTCAGGATAATTTACATTCTTGAAAGTACTTGAGGACACTAAGGAGCTTTTATGGGACCTATCTATCACTATTTACTGTAATCAAAATTAAAAATGAGAAGTTGTTTTTAATTTTCATTTTGAAATAAAAATAATAAACCCGTTATCTATGTGCATATACATGGCACTGCGGGTTAATAAACTGGACTGTAAGGTTAGTTTGAGCCTCAAGGTCAGTGGTTCAAACTCACTAGCCACTCCTTGGAAGCCCTTTGCAGAGTTGCTATGAGTTGGAACTGACTCAATGGCACTTAACAACATATATTTATTTAAAAGCTTAATGAGAAGAGTGGCACTGTTTTAGGTTTTTGTAAATCGCTCTAACATCTGGCTAAATAAAAGTCAGCCAAATTCTTATGTTTGCTTCTACATTCAATCTGTTGCAAGCTGTTGTTTTATTTGAAAATTTGAAGAAAACTTGAACTCATACAAATTTGTAGTTGAAAAAGAAAGGAGTAGTTTAGCAGTCCTTTCAGGTCATTGGAAATATTCTTCTTTGGTACTACACCACAACATGATGACTGGCAGTTCCCTAAAGGATTATTTTCATATAGAAACTGAAACTACATCAATTTCAAACTCTGTTTTAATAAAACCCTGTATTCTATGATGCTCTTTGAATGAAATCTTCTACACATGCATGTTTAAATAGCAACTTGCTTTGGCCATTCAGAAAATCTTGGTTCACTGACATATGCCAAACTTTCTGATACTGACCCATTTTATTATATAGTGCATATTTTAAATCATCTTCATTAATATCACCACTAAGGTGTGACTTACACCAGCCAGGATATTTTCTATTGCCTCGTATGCATGTGAAAGCTGACAATGACTAAGGAAGACTGAAGAGTCTATTAATTTGAGTTACGGTGTTGGCAAAGAATATTGAAAGTACCACGGAGTGCCAGAAGAACAAACAGATCTTTCTTAAAAGAAGCACAGCCAAAGTGGTTCTTAGATGAGAGGATGGCAAGACATGTTATCAGGAGAGCCCAGTCCTTGGAGAAGGACATGGCAAGTCTTTGGAGAAGGACATCAGAAGTAGAGGGTCAGTGGAAAAGAAGAAGACCTTTAATGAGCTAGATTAACACAGTGGCTGTAACAATGGGTTCAAACACAGCAATGATGGTGAGGATGGCACAGGATGGGCAGTGTTCCACTCTGTTGTATGTGGGGTCACGTTAAATTGGAACCAATTCACCAGCACCTAAGAAAACAACAATTTCATCAGAAACATCTATAAGACTACAAAGGTTACTAGGCTTGTGGTTATAAAAGATTGTTTTCTAAAAGTCTGCTTTTTGCTTGAACGATCAATGATCATAATTTGCAAGAAATAGCATTTCATTGTTTTCCTTATAGTGACAGTTTCACTTCATTCATTTTTGTGAAAATAGCTCCCAAATATCCAAGTCTAAATAACCACAGCTGTCAGTCATTCTTTCAGACAAGTGCTTTTCCTTAAGGTGAACTTCAAATTCCACTATGCATCATAGATGTTTCATGCACACTTCACATTTCATCACACACAACACTAAACAATAGTTATTGTTATTGCTAATAAAATTACTAACTTTTTCTACTCCATCAAGCCCAAACTGCACTGAAGACTTCAGGGAAAACAAGACTCCAGGACTTGACTGGATACCAATTGAAATGTTTCAACAAACTGTTGTACACTCACCAGTCTATGCCAACAAATTTGGAAGACAGCTACATGTCCAACTGATTGAAAGGGATCCATATTTGTGCCCATTCTGACCCAACAGAATGCAGACATTTTTAAACAGCATCATTAATATCGTAAGTAAAATTTTGCTGAAGATAATTTAAAAAACAGTTCCAGCAGTAAGTCGACAGGGAGCTGCTGGAATTTCAAGCCAGATGTAGAAGAGGACATGGAATGAGAAATATCATTGCTGGTATCAGATGGATCTTGATGAAAGTAGAGAATATCAGAAAGATGTTTACTTGTGTATTATTGACTACGCACAGGTATTAGACTATGTGGATCATAACAAACTGATTGTAAGTGTTCTGGGAATTCCAGAACACTTAATTGTGCTCATCAGTAACCTATATATAGACCAAGATTCAGCCATTAGAACAAAACAAGTAGATACTTAGAGGTTTAAAATCAAGGAAGAGAGTGCATCAGGGTTGTATCCTTTCACCATAATTATTCAATGTATGCTGAACAAATAATCATAGAAGTTGGACTATATGAAGAAGAATGTGGCATCAGGATTGGAGGAAGAAAAATTGACAACCTGTGATATGCTGATAACACAACCTTGCTTGCTGAAAGTGAAGACGCCTTCAAGCACTTTCTCATAAAGGTCAACACAGACAGCCTACGGTATGTCCTGTAACTCAAGGTAAGGAAAACAAAAATCCCTATGACTGGACTAGTAAATATCACAGTAAATGGAGAAAAGATGGAAATTGTCAAGGATTTCATTTTACCTGGTTCTGCAATCAATGCCTTTGGAAGTAGCAGTCAAGAAATCAAACGGCGTATTGCATTGGTCAAATCTGTTGCAAAAAAACCTCTATAAAGTGTTAAAGAGCAAAGATGTCACTTTGAGGAATAAGGTGGGCTTGACCTAAGCCATATATTTTCCATCACCTCATATGCATGTGAAAGGTGGACAATGAATAAGAAAGACTGGAGAAGACATGGTGCATTTGAATTGTGTTGTTAGAGAAAAGTATGGAAAGTACCATGGACTACCAAAAGAACAAATCTGACAGCCAGAATGGTCCTTAGAAGCAAAGATGGCAAGACTTTGTCCATGTTGCTTTGGGGGTATTATCAGTGGGGACCAGTCCCTTGAAAAAGATATCATGCTTGGTAAAGTGGAAGGTCATCAAAAAGAGGAAGAGCCCCCAGAAGACAGATTGACACAGTGATTGCTACATGAGCTCAAGTACAACAATTCTGAGGGTGACACAGGACCAGGCACTATTCCTTTCTGTTGTATGTAATCAGTACCAGTCAACAGAACCTAACAACAGTAGGAGCAGCAGCAGCAACACTCCACTTGGAATGGAACTCGCATTTTGTAAAACGGAATCGCGTGGTGATGAGGCCTGCGCACCTATCTGCACTGTTAGGCGATGCTGCTTCGATTTGCTAAGGAGCCAGCAGTTTTATTTTTGTTTTTGCAGCATCAATGCAAATGTCAGCACAATGAAAATAACATCAAAATGTTATTATGAAAATAATTTTGATGTCATGGACCTCTGAAAGAGTCTTGGGAACTTCCTCCAGGGGTCTATAGACCACACTTTGAGACCCGATGACTTATGCAATACCTGACAACCTACCTAGATAGTTATAAACATGTTATATTGTAATAACTTACATCTATTGATTTAATATATGCTGCTATTTCCCCAAATTCTTTATGGTATTTCTAGAACCTGGGCTTTTCAGAGCAGAAATTTGTATGATTTCCTGGTGAAATTCCTTGTGATATTTTATAATCTGACCAGTGCCAACTCTTATAAAGAGTTTTATGTTTACATTGAATTAACAGAATAAAATAAAATTTACTTATTTAGAGAGTCAAGAGAAAAGTCTTGCATTAAAATTTTCTATTGGAATATTGACATTTAATGTATTTATGAAAGAAGTAAGATAAATACTTGTCTCACCATCAATGACATTTTCTTTGTCTAGGCAGTGTTGCGGTTACCTCACCCTTTAACTTCTTTCTGTCAAAATATGGCCTCAAAAAGTGACCATTCTTTGGCTAAAAGGTTTTGGAGGAGAGGAGATGCTTCCCAGATCAAGAATAGCACTGAGGAGGGCTCCAAATGGGTACCTGTTCCTAAGCCCATCATGATAGGCAGAAGTCACCCAAGTCAAACAAATTCCGAACATGGTCTACTACATCCAGAGCCACCTGATGCCATCTTGCAGCTGAAGGCAGTGCAAAGCAGCGGGACACAAAGCCCAGCCCAAAAGATGCCAAAGGAGACCCTACTCAGTGCTCAGGGATGGTCTCGGGACACCCCCCAGTTTGTCCCTGATGAAATGAACAGTCCTGCTTTGGCACTTGCTGAAAGGGAAGATAAGACCAGTAACATCGAGGACAGAAAAGATGAGCTGGAGGAAGAGCAACTGCAAGAACTGCTGTCAAAATATATAGATGCCTGCATTCCTGAAATGCCATCAGGTAAGGTTTTCACTGCTAGCAGAGGCAGTGATGATGATGTATTAAGACATGATTTCATGCTATGTCAGATCAGCCCAACTGCTAAAATCATCTCATGAGCAATAGTCAGAGTTCTGAAACTTTTCAATGTCAGTAGCATCTCTGACTTTGTCTTTCTACATCCTAGAATTACCTACGTCATCAAGTTATTGTGAACATTGAAAGAGATAAACCACATAAGACTTTAGTGCAGCACCCTGCTAGTTGGTGGTGGTTGCCATCGAGTTGATTCCGACTCACAGTTGCCCCCAGGAATGCCGTGTAGGCTTTTCAAGGCTGTAACCTTTTCTAAGTACATCTCCAGGCCTGTCTTCCAAGGCACCCCTGGTGGGCTCAAACTGTCAACCTTTCAGCTAGTTGTTGAACTATTTGCATGGCCTATGAACATAATAAGTATCCAATAAATATTTATTACAATTAGTATGATCAGTAAGCCTAACTCATATACAGCTTGGCAGGCTGATGTCATCATCTAGAAATTGAAGTAACAGTGGTACTTTGTTTCTAGAAGAGAATTGATTAAGTTCTCTGGTAGCATAATGGTTAAGCACTTGGTTGCTAACCACCCAAAGGGCAGTGATTTGAACCCAACAGCTGCTCTGCTGAAGAAAAGACCTGGTGATCTGCTCCTGATAAGATTACTGCCTAGGAAGCCCTATGGGGGCAGTTCTACCCCTATAGGGACAGAATCGATTTGATGGCACATAACCCACAAAGCCTAGAGGTATAGTTACCATCATTATCACTTTCTTTTTCATAAGCTATGACTCATTGCTACATTCTAAAGGTTTTAATTTGTTTTTACTCCTTCTTCACTATAACTAGTTCTTAGTACCATTGTTTTATTTCTAACTGGAGAGTCTTATTACCATGTCTTATATTTATATCCATTTCTTCTTTAACAAAGTCTCAGGTCTTTTCTGTTGCACCAATCATCTGTTGACTTGTGTTAGAACAAAGGATAACATTCTCCTGTGTGTCTATAGTAGAGGACTTCACAAAATAGTTCTGAGTTGCTCAACTGTCAAGTGGGTACATGTTAATGTCAGTTTTATACAGACCATAGTACAGCCAAGTCAATGTAGTCATTACTTGGTGTCCCTCAAAATTGTACTGTGAATGGAGTTGGAGCTGTAATTTTTGCATTAGAGGAAACAAGGTCACAAAGATGCCAGGCGCACATTTAGACTACCGGGGACAAAGACCGGCTGGAACTGCTTGAGCCTGATTGTTAGGCTGACCAGCGATTCCACCCATTGTATTTCTGCTCAAATACCCTTGGGGTCAGGATGAGTATTGAAAGCATAGTCAGTATCCTCTTGACCTTTTTAGGAAAATTCACATAAAAATTGCACTTTGTAAGTAAGTATTTTTTTAGTCTTTTGACATCATCATCTTTTTATTTTTTATTTTCGTTTCTCCAAATGAACTTATGAAGAGTGCTGATTTCTGAATGTTGTCCCTCAAATTCTAGTAGGCTATGTTAGCATAGTGGTTATGAATCGGGCTGTGAACCTTGAAGTCAGCAATTTGAAACTACCAGCTTTTCGTGGGAAAAAGATGAGGCTTTCTGCTCCCATAAAGATTTATAGCCTTGGAAACCCTGTACAGGGTCACTATGAGTTGGAACCGACTCCACAGCACATAACTACCACCACCACCATCATACCCATTGGAGGACTCTGGTAGCCTCATGGTTTATGAGCTGGGCTACTAATGGAAGTCAGCAGCCTCTTTGAGGTGAAAGACGAGGCTGTACTCCCATAAAGATTTAAAGCTTTGGAAATATATACAGGGTAGCTATGAGTTGGTGGCACCCAGCCACGACTATCACCATACATATTGGAAGACAGTATTTCAACATTTGTATAGTTTGATACTTAAAGCAAAAATTATTGTTGTGAAGTGCATAGAGTCAATTCTGACTCATAGTGACCCTGTATAGGGTTTCTCAGGAGCGGCTCATAAGTTTGAACCATCAACTTTGCAGTTCAAACCAACCTTGCTATGCAAAATACCATAGCACTTGATTAAGTCAATTAAAATACATACGACTATATTTGCTTTAGAGTCCTGGTGTGGTGCTATAAGATAAGCACTGGATTACCAACCCTAAGGTCAGTGGTTCAAACCCACCAACTGCTCCTCAGAAATCCTATACAGAATCAATATGAGTCAGAACAAACTAGATGGCACTTCACAGCAACAATGTATTTATAAATCTATTATAATTATAGCTGTATACATACACACCATTATATGGTAAAAAGGAAAATCATGAAAAAGGGTAAAGTTTATTTCTAAATTCATATGATGAAATAATATATATAGATGAAATTAATATTAAAAACTCATCAATTGCAACCTCAGCACAATCATAATGCTTCTGCTTGAGGTATGCATTATGACCATACAAGTTTGTTGTTTATATTACAATCAAAGTGCACATTTTCTTTTTAATATTATAGAATTCTGTGGTCATAGATGATTCAACAAATGCTAATTGATGAGATTTCAATTTACAGTCTGATTTCTTTTACATTAGTCTTATTGCCTTTAGGCATTTAAGCATAAGGATCCATGTAAATTTTCATGTTAATTTCCTTGGCTATGGTTACCATTTTTAAACACTGTCACTTCTAACTCAGCCAGATAGTTCTTCTATTTAAGTTTGCATATTAACTCGATGTGGTATTGATAATTATCCAGTTTGCAAATTCTACATGACCATAGTAATATGGATTATAAAAGCGCATTTCGTAGCCCATTCATGTTTACCAAAATTAAAGTAAATCAAAGCCTGAAGTGTAGTAAATATGCTGATGATGAGTTGGCAAGGGAAACTAACTACATAAAGATATCGGTTCCCTTCGCTTTATTTCTCCGTCACTGATTTTCTCAGATAGCATCAGGGAGTATCTGCTCAGCTTACTGTTATTGCGATTGTGTTTGTTGTATGTATCTATGCGTAGTTCTAACTCATAGTAATCTTACAGAACAGACTCAAACTGCCCACACAGAGTTTCCTAGGCTGTAAATCCTTACAAGGACAGATGACCAAATCTTCTCTCCCAGGAACAGCTAGTAGGTTCAAACTACTAACCTTTCAGCTAGCAGTTATATACTTAACCATTCACTGTTCTCCCAAGTCAAACCAAAAGCCCACTGCCGTCTCATCAATTTCCACTCATAGAAACCCTGTGAGGAAAAGTTGTCTTTTCGGAGACTATAAATCTTTACAGGAGCAAGTAGCCTCATCTTTCTCTCTCAGAGCAGCTGGTGGATTTGAACCACCAACCTTTTGATTAGCAACCCAATGTTTATCCTGCAGTGCCACCTGAGCTCCTTATTTCACTGTTACAAGTTGTTTTTCTTGTTGTTGTTTTTATTTTCTCTGAGTTTTTACTTTGGAGAATGTTAAAAGAAAGATTTACTACTTGCACCATGTTAGGGTTGACTCAGATTGCTAATGTATTCAGCCAGTGTTGTGGTTATCATAGATGCTGACGGCCACTTTGGATTTCAGATTTACTAACAAACTAACTCATGTTGGACATTAAGGTGACCTTTGAACTACTAAAAGACTTACTATGACTTGACCACCAAATCTGCTGGTGAGTTTTGGACAGTTATTGACATGAATTGATTTGAGTGATTCAGTATCAAGATCCAGGATAATAGGATTTCAAGAGCTCCTGTGAGCTTAATGAAAAGAGAAATTCGTGTAGGAGTTTCCCAAGTTGCTTTAAATTCTGCATGCTGGATTGAAAAGCAGTAGTAAACAGTTTGATCAAAACTTGCAGTAAAGGTTTAAGTTTGAAAGAGTTATCTAATGCTACTTGCTTCTGTGGTGAAAATGAAGGCCATAATCCACTGATTTTACTTTTTCATGAAATTATCTTCTCTCCATTTCTGAGTGAAATTTACCCTAATGCATCTCTCAAACTCTTTTCTCCAGTTATCTCCACCCACTTGACACTGTGGGCTTCCACAATGGCAAGGAAACTGGTATGTCAGAGAGTAGAGTGGTAGGATTAGAGGGAACTTGGCTAAGGGTGAAGATTAAGGAGCTCTTTGTACTCCTTTCTCCCATACCTGGATCCATTACTTGACACTATTGTTTTAACCTCAGCCTCTAACACTCTGGTACCCTCCTATCCCATCCCTGAGTCATTCAGAAATCACATGTATTTTTTATGACATTCAAGTGAATTATTTTGCCATTGTGATTTCTTACGGATTGTCCATGTCACAGATATATTTATCTAGCTTTTTATTAGGCCTCCCTGGATGTGCTATATTAATTAATTCAGTCTATATAGTCAGTGAATTCTTATGTATACTAAAGAACATGCTAGGTGTTTTGGTGGTTTCTAACATATCAAGAGGTTGGAACTAACAAACAAAAACAAGAAAAGCTCCTATCTATAAAATGGATTACCCCTTCCCAATTTCTCTATTTGCTACATTTTAGGCTTTCATCACTGTGGGCTAAGAAGCAGAATATCCTAACACAAATTTATCTCTGGATAACGTGCTTCATTGTTGTTGTTAAGTGCTGTAAAGTCAATTCCAACTCATAGCGACCCTGTATAAAGTTTCGGAGGCTGTATATCTTTATGGGAACAGCAAGTTTTGTCTTTCTTCTGTGGACAGGCTGGTAGATGCAAACTTCTGACCTTGAGGTTAGCAGTTTAGCATGTGAGACAGTAAAATATTCTTTACCCAAGGCCCTTCTGGTCCTGGAGCAGCGTTAGAGGATGTTGTTGTGGTTATTAGGTGCCATTAAGTAGGTACCGACTCATAGCGATCCTATACACAACAGAATGAAACACTGCCCAGTCCTGGGCCAACCTAACAATTATTGCTACATTTGAGCCCATTGCTGCTGCCACGTTGTCAGTCCATCTCGTTGGGGGTCTTCCTCTTTTTCTCTGACCCTCCACTTTACCAAACATGATATCCTTCTCCAGGGAATGGTCCCTTCCTGATAACATATTTGAAGTATAAGAGATGAAGTCTGACCATCCTGGCTTCCAGGGAGCATTCTAGCTATACTTCTTCCAATGCAAATTGGTTTGTTCTTTTGACAATCTATGGTACTTTTAATATTCTCATCTAACACCATAACTTAAATACATCAATTCTTCTATGGTCTTCCATATTCACTGTCCAACTTTTCACAAGCATTTGAGGTTATCGAAAATACCATGACTTGGGTCAGGCGTACCTCAGTTCTCAAACTAACATCTTTGCTCTTCAACACTTTAAAGAGGTCTTGTGCAGCAAATTTGCCTAATGCAATATGTTGTTTGATTTCCTGACTGCTGTTTCCATGAGTGCTGTTGGTTGATCCAAGAAAAGGGAAATGTTTGACTACTTCAATCTTTTCTCCACTGATATGGATGCTGTTTATTGGTCCAGTGGTAAGGATTTTTGTTTACATTGAGGTGCAACCCATACCTATGGCTGTGGTCTTTAATATTCATCAGTAAATATTTTAAGTCTTCTTTGTTTTCAGTAAGCAAGGTTGTATCATCCGCTTATATTGCTGGTTGTTAATTAGTTTTCCTCCAGTCCCGATGCCATGTTTTTCTTCATATAAATCAGCTTCTTAGATTGCTTGCTCAGCACATAGATTAAATTAAGTATGATGAAAGAATGCAACCCTGGTACACACCTTTACTAATTTGAAACCATTCAGTGTTCCCTTGTTCTGTTCTAACAACTGTCTTTTGGTCTAGGTACAAATGCATATATTACGTCTTTACTTTCTCAGCATAAATTAGGTCATATTATGCTTTGATTTTTTCAGATGGTAATATATTTTAGACACTTCATGATATACCTGGGTGTAAATATACTGTAATATATTTATTGTTGTCTAAGCTGCTTCCAATTTTTTAAAAAACAAAACAAAATGCTTTGGTGAATATCCTTATAGCATCTTTCTTTGTTGTTGTTGTTATGTGCCGTGGAGTCGGTTCCGACTCATAGAGACCCTGTACAGAGTTTCCGAGGCTGAAAATCTTTACGGGAGCAGAAAGCCTCCTCTTTCTCCTGCAGAACAGCTGGTAGTTTTGAACTGCTGACCTTCTGGTTCACAGCCTGATGTGTAATCACTACACTACCAGAGCTCCCTATCTTTCTTTGTACTCATATATAAATATGCTTTCCAGGATCAATTCTTAGAAAAGAACTCTTAGGTTAAAGAACATGGATATCAGACTTTGGGTTGATAACTGCCAAATTGTTGATATTTCTACAATCCCTATAACAACAGATCATAGGAAACCGCACAACCCATTTAGTGAGTGTTGTTGTTGTTAAGTGCCGTCAAGTTGGTCCTGACTCATAGTGAGCCTGTATAGAGTTTCCAAGGAGTGGCTGGTAAGTTTGAAGCCCCGACCTTGTGTTTTACACCAACCTTACGATCCTGTGCTTTATCCCACAGCACTGCACCAGGACTCCAGCTATTGAGTAGTGCTTCTCAAAGGGTGGTCCTGGCAGCATGAGGAAATGCAAATTTGGGGGCCCCACTGGAGACATACTAAATCAGGATCTAGCAATCTGCTTTAACTAGCTCTTCCAGTGATTGTGGTGTACAGTAGAGCTGGAGAACAATTGTTCTAGAGTGGGCTTCTGGCAACTCAATTTCATTCTAGAAGCCATGAGAAAAACACCCTGTAGGAAGTCATGAGCTGGCTGAAGTCATAGTATTACTCAGGATTAAAGACACTCATCTTATTTGCTAACTATCTGAGGAACTAAGGAGGAATGGGTTCTATTTCTCTTTTGTGCTAGGGATTTGTAAAGATCAGCTTGAGAACCTCTGGGTACATTTCTCTGATAGGCTATCATGTTTGATTTCAGATCCGAAGTCTTCGGTAAGCACGGACCTGTATTATGGTGCTGAGCAGGTGAGCAGGGCCTTCTCTGCCCTGATTGATCAAATTACCGTGCCCAACTTGAACTGAAGATAATCCAGGCCCAAAGGCCCTGTTGATGTGATGATGAAACACATTTTCAAAATCTGTGTTAAAACAGATAATTAAGCCTCTCTTTCAATGCAAAGCATGAAGAAGAGTTCTATTTTTAATTTGCTTATTTGTGTATATTGGAGTCCTGGTGTGGCCCTATAGATAACCACTGGACTTCTAACTGTAAGGCTGGCAGTTCAAACCCACCAGCTGCTCCTAAAAATGCTATACAGGTTCACTATGGGTCTGCACTGACTCGATGGCACTTAACAACAACAACATCAACATTCATGTATCTTAGTTCTCCAGTTCAGTGCAAAGTCTTTGGGTGGAGGTTGGTGGAGGGAAAAGGTAAGTAGGTAAGAAGGAGTCCAGTTCAACAACGCTGTCTCCATCAGAGAGTGTTCTTACTTTGAATACCTTGAGAACGATTTTCAAGTGTGTGATTTACGTGAATGTATGCAACTATCTTCTTCAAGTATCATTAGAATTACTGAATTGATGACCTAATTTTCTATCTGGCTACTGCTGATGGAGAACAGGCTTGAAGCAAAAGACACCCCCTCTAGACTCCTCCCAGCCCCCCAAAAGAAAAAGAAAAAAGCAAACACATTGCCCTCAGTTGATTTTGAATCATGGTAGAAGATTCAGAGCCATTTAAATGGCCAAGTTCCCCTTTATGAAGGGATATGGCCTCGGGCTTTTCTTGCTCTCAATTGCATGAAGCGAGTCTCTTCACTTGTCTTGTGATTTTATTGATGGATGCTTTAGTTGGTGGATTGATTACTTCTCCACCTACTTTGATGTGATTTATAATAAAACACAGTGTACTAGTTTCCTAGGCTGTCATAACAAAAGTAGTGGCTTAAAAGAACATAAATTTATGGTACCACCGTTTTTGAGACTAGAAGTCCAAATCAAGGTATCAGCCATGCTGATTCCTTCCAAGGATGCAAAAAGAAATTGCTCCATGCCTCTCTCCTAGCTTCTGGTGACTCCTGGAAATCCTTGGTGTTCCTTAATTTACAGCTGCTTCAGTTGTCACATGATTGTCCTTCCTATGACTATATCTTGTCTCCATGTCTGTTCTTCTCTGTTATTAGACACTACTCAGATGGGTCCTGGTGTGGTACTGTAGGATAAGTACTGAACTGCTAACCACAAAGTCTGTGGTTCAAACCTACCAGCCTCTCCTCAGAAATTCTATACAGGATCTCTATGAGCCAGAACTGACTCTATGATACTTAACAACAGCAACACTTTTCATAAATAAAATACAATCATTAAAATAAACATATTTTAAAAATATATATGTTAAGTGACATCGAAGTTGGCTCTGATTCATAGTGACCCTGTATAGCATTTCCCTGTATAGCTTTGCAGGATTAGAAAGCCTCATCTTTCTCCCATGAAACAGCTGGTGAAGTCAAACCACTGAACTCAATTAGCAGCCCATTGCTTATCCTACAGAGCCACAGCACTCCCCAAAATAAATATATAGCTATCAAAATAAAAACAGTTCATGCTCTATGATGTTCGTAATTCCTTGGGTCTGTGGGAGCCACACTGTGTGAGGTGGAACCGCTCTGCACTGGAGAAGAAAATGATGTCATCTCTTGTCTCATCATGGACTGCGGCTTAGCTCTCTAGTACTTCTAATACTGCTGTGACAGACATACCACAAGGGGGTGGTTTTAACAAACAAATGGATTTTCTCACAGTTTAGCGTGTCTGAATTTAGGGCTCTGGGGAGAGGTCCTTGTCTATTCAGCCTGTTTCCTGCTTCCTTGGAGATCTCCAGATGACTTGGTATCACTCTTCCCCCATCTCTGCTTTTCTTCTTTGTCCGGTTCTAATCTCTTTTATATCTTGTATATCAAACAGATGAACTCAAAATACACCCTGTGTTAAAACTGCATCATCAACAAAGATATTCCATTCCCAATTGGGATTACAACCACAGGCAAAGAGATTAAGAGTTAGAACACGTATTTCTGGGAGACATAATTCAATAATAACAGAATGGCTTTACTTGTAGGACAGAGACTTGTACAGAACACTCTTAGCCATTCAAGGCCCTAGAAACACCCCACACATCATTTGTTCTCTCTGCCATCAGTGCTGGTTAATGAGTGGATAACCCCAGACATCACTAATGTTGTTCTAAAACTATTATCCAATTATGGTAGTCTGATTTATTTGAAATGATGCTAACTGAAGTGTTTAAAAGGTAACAAATTATAACCAGTCTCACTTAAATCCTTATTTTTAAGATCCTTTTGTTGAGAGTATATACACGTTAAATTCCTCATGATTTTATTTAAATAATGGCATATTGTATGGTCAATGTCTTCTTATGTACACTATATTTCAACTAAAAAAAAAAAAAAATGCCCAGAGACCCTGAAAGTGGCAAATAAAAGGACAATAACCCAAGAACCATTTCCACTTCTTCTTCCCACCTTGTATGGTGGTGGTGGTGGTGGTTATGTGCTATGGAGTCAGTTCTAACTCACAGCAACCCTGTATAGGATTTCCAAGACTGTAAATCTTTACAGGTGCAGAAAGCCTCATTTTTCTCCCTCAGAACAGCTGATAGTTTCAAACTGTTGACCTTGAGGTTAGCAGCCAGACTCATAACCACTACGCTAACCAGAGCTCCTTCCCACCTTGTATACTTGGGTTAAATTGGCTTCCAGAAAATGTGCACTGCCCTTTATCCTATGCTAGCATTTCTTATTATGTATGGACCCTTCCCTATTAGGGTTGCATCAATTAATTCATTCCACTGTGACAACTACCCATACTGTTTATGACATGATGTCAAGTATTGGGATCACAAAAAAACAATGCTAAATAAAACACACTTTCTAATCCCTAATCAATGCAATGAATGTAATTGAAGTAGGGTTTGGAGAATTTAGTAATACCATGATTAATATCTTGGGAGGTAAAACTAAGGAAAGAGTGAGATTTGATGCTTTTTTGATGGGCTCAGTGGATTAGTAAGGAGGTTGGAGAGTCAGTAGTATAAACAAGCAAGCAGTGAGTGAGGAGTTAGTTCTAGCTGATGACTTCTACACCCCACTTTCGCGTGGCTCCAGTTCACCTCTTGCATAATGGTCTTTCTTTCTCCAGCCACTTTTTTTTTTTTGCTTTCTGCTCCTTTCCTTGCTTTGTCTCTCTGCAATTGCATTCCAGTAGCTCATAACTTTCTTTCCATGCAAATTAAAAATCTCCAGGAGAAGCACAACATGCCCAAGATTTTTAAAATGTGAACTCATTTGTGGTATATTCATACTATGGAATACTACTCAAGGATAAAAGGAGCAGGCAATTGATGCCCACTCCTTGGAGGAAACATAAGGTGGTTATACCAAGTGACAAAAGCCAACCTCAAACAGTTACATACTATCTGATACCATATATGTATATTTTAAATGATATAATTATAGGGATGGAGGTTGGCAGGGTTTAAGAAAGTGATAAATATGTAGCACAGAGTATCCGTTCTATATGTTGACTGTGTTGCTATCCACACATGTAATACAATGGCATAGACTTAAATACATATACACAGTTAAGTGCATAGAGGACAGATGAAGTCTGAATACTATCAGTGGATTGTATCAATATCCATTTCCTGATCATGATACTGTACTATTGTTATGGGATATGTTACCACTGGGGGAATTGTAAATCTACAATCGTCTTAAATAAAAAGTGTTCTTAAAATGTGAATATGTCTCTAATAACCACACATCTATTGACTTTTGTCTAAGTACTTGCATGCATCCTTTTTCTGCATATGTAGGTGTGATTAGATTATACATACTTAATGGTGCTGATGTTTTTGTTGGAGTCCTGGTGTGGCACTATAGAATAAGCACTGGACTGCAAGGTTGGTATGAACTGTAAGATCAGGGGTTCAAACTCACCAACTTCTCCTTGGAAACCCCTTACAGAGGCTCTATGAGTCAGAACCGAGTTGAGGGCACTCAACAACAACAGGCTGGGTTCCCTGGAGAAGTAAACCCAGTGAGACCAGTATAATACATGAGAGGGCTTCAAAGAGTTCATGGAAAAATGGCATTAAAAGATAATTCAATTTTTCCACAGATGTTTTAAAGACTCTTTCTCTGTCCCTGTCTCTTCTCAATGTGTATATAAATATATATAGTTGTTGCTGTTAAATGCCATTGACTCGGTTCCTACTCATCGTGACCCTGTATTGTGTTTCTAAGGAGTGACTGGCAAGTTTGAACCACCGACCTTATGGTCCAAACTGCTCTTTTGTTCCAGTGCCTTCTTCCACAGCATCACATCAGGATTTGCTCTCTCTTTCTCACTGCTATTGAGTTAATTACAACTTGTAGCAAACCTGTAGTGCAGAGTAGAGCTTTTCATAAGATTTCCAAGACCATAAATCTTTATGGAAACAGACAGCCTCATGTTTATCCTGCAGAGCAGCTGGCAGATTTGAACCACCAGTCTTTTAGTTATCAATCCAATCAGTACTCAACCCACTGAACCATCAGTGTGTATGTCAATGAAATGGACCATGTGGTTGCAGAGATGGGCAAGTCCCAAGTCTGTGGGTCAAGCATCGGGCTGGAGGCTTCCCCTGACTCACACTATACAGGGATTGGTGGATCCAAGATGAGCAAGACAGATGACTGGCTGCTGGTTCATGGGCTGAGGAGGCTAGTGAATCCAAGATAGGCAAGTAAGATGATGAGCTATAAGATCCAGAGCAAGTATCCAGAGCAAGTGAGTGAGCTTCACCAAGACATCCATATTAGATGCAGGCCACACTTCCAAGGAAATGCTCCTCGTAACTGATAGGTTGATCATATCAGATGTCATTATGGGGGATGAATTATAGCATTACGTAACTGCCAAATTACCGAGAACCATAACCCAGCCAGGTTGGCACACAACCTTAAACATTACAAATAGCTAACATTTTTTTACTTAGAGCTCTTAGTATTAGTCTA